ACACACACACACACACACACACACACACACACACACTTCACTTTGGGGTATGAACAGCTATAAATACACGCTATTTTACAGAGCGAATCAAAACTAATGAACAGTGAGAAGTACAGTGAAATACTTAACACACATCAGGTCACACAAAGAGAGGATTTCTGAATCAGGGACGCACATTCTCCAGAGACTTCCATTCCACCCCTGAGAGTCTTGGTCTTCGCATGGGTAAAGATGTAAGAACTGAAATTTTTTGATTGTTTTTGGAATTTGGAATCCAGAGGAATCTCCAAGTCCTCTTCCCTATAAACTTGGAGCTCCTGTGGATATGTTGGAGGATCAAAAACAAAACACTTCCGTTTTGGAAAGAAACGCCTGATACATTCTCTGGATTTGTTGGCATTTTGAACTCTAAGACTGTCACCTGAGGAAAAGGAAAATTGCAGTGAGCGCAGTCTTGGAGCAAGGTAGGTCAATAATATTATAGCAGAATTCCAGCATGAAGAGGGAGGTGGGCGGGAAGCCTCACCCCAGCTGAGAAGCTATGGGCAACTGATGGCTGCTGGGAGAGGGAGAATCAGGTTTTTCAAGGACTGGGCCTTGACAGGCTATCATATTCCAGTAGATGGCGATACAGCCAAGTATCCACTGGAAGCCCTGAGTGGACTCAGTGGGTGAAAAACAAAGCAACCAAAAAACAACAGCAACATATGAAGTTCAGAGATGATGGTGAGGGAGAAGGGAAGAGCTGGATGGGAGGAAACGAGGGTGGGCTTGCTCAGAACACACTGTAGACATCTACAAAATTCTCAAACAATAAAAATACTATAACCACCAGGCGTGGTGGTGCAAGCCTTTAATCCCAGCACTCAGGAGGCAGAGGCAGGCAGATCTCTGTGAGTTCAAGGCCAGCCTGGTTTACATAGTGAGTTCCAGGACAGTTGGGGCTACAGGGAGACCATGTCTCAAAACAACAAAAAAAAAAAAAAAAAAATACTATAACCATTCCTTGCAGTGTCTGTTCTATCTCCATTTATACACTCGTTCAATAGCTCAATGGTTATAAAACTTAAATGTCTGTCTGGAGATGAATTTTGGAGACATCGGATCATGTAAAGAAATACGTATAGTTATCCACAGAGCTGAGCTGGGAATCTGCTCTGTTTATTGTGTGATTTAACCAGTGAATGGTTGTTTACCAACTTATGCTCTGCAGCTAAAGATATTAGAAGTCACATACACAGGTGCAAACGGAGAGGCGCTACAAACAATAAATAATACAGCAACTAATAGTGTAGGTGACACTTTGTTCAGGTAAGGCAAACTTCTGAAATATTAATAATAATTCCCATACTACAAATAGGATTATCTATTTTTGGTATAAAGTTTGAACACTACATGGTATTTAAGTATATAATTTAGAGAACTCAGTATTCCCTAAGAAGATGGGTTTCATCAAGTGGTATTAAGTTAATTCGTTAAATTAAATATCTTCATAAATAAATATGCTAAAAAGAAGAAACTGACACAATGGAGAGAAAAATGAAAGATCTGGTAGAAAAATATAAAAGTAGTTTCTCAGTTCTGTTTAGGATATAAAGTCACATTTTGTGAAAGATATAATTATCTATCTTTTAAAACTTAAAAAGTAAGAAAAAACTGAGAAAAATAGGTCCTTACGATTTTTTCCTGTCTAGGAAATTGCCTTTTTTCAGGGTTTTCCTCAACAAAAAAGGAAGAAACACGATAAGAAAAGTATGTGTCTAGCCCATGGAAGAGTTGCCTGGCTTCCGAATGCTTTCCCCACACGTTAGTACTAAATAATTCCCAAATTCATTAAGGTTCCACCCATTCTAAGTGAGCTAAACTTGAGCTGCTACAAATTATCAAGGAGTAATAACTCAGTTCCCAGTCAGCACTTTTCCGGGCCTTGAAAGGAGTCTCAAATACAAGTGTGACTCAGAGCTGATGCAGAGGGTGCAGATCACTCTCTGACACCTGGGATGAGCTTCAGGGCCTTCTCCAAGTACTCATCTTCTGTGACAGGGCGACCAGCTGTCTCCAGCTCCAGGGTGAAATCCAGCAGAGTCCAGATAAAATCTGGAAAGAAACTCATAAACTCAACGGCATCCTTTACTCCGTCAGGACTTGGCGCAGACTTCACCCTGATTAGCTCTGTGAGCTCTGTCACATAACTAGACCTTGGGTAAGGAAAAGGCGCTTCGATCAAAAATCCACACATTTGCTTTATAAAAAACATTATGAGCACCGGGCATGGTGGCGCATGCCTTTAATCCCAGCACTCGGGAGGCAGAGGCAGGCCGATCTCTGTGAGTTCAAGGCCAGCCTGGTCTACATAGTGAGTTCCAGGACAGCTGGGGCTACAGGGAGACCCTGTCTCAAAAAGACAAAAAAAAAGAAAGAAAAAAGAAAAGATAAAAATATAGCACTTTTAGCACTATAAAAATATCTTTTAGCGGGGGGTGACAGCACACCCCTTTAATCCCAGCACCCAGGAGGCAAAGCCATGTGGATCTCTGTGAGATCAAGGCCAACCTGGTCTACACAGCAAGTTCCAGGACAGCTGGGGCTACAGGAAGACCCTGTCTCAAAAAGACCGAAAAAAAACATTATGAGCAATCTCTTCTGCTTTGGAACCTTCTGTGCTCCACCAAACACAACTGAGTCAGAGAAATGTAACCTAACATAGCTCCGCTCAGAACTGGAAAAGGATACTGCAGCTGCTCCAGGGCCTCGTCAGTGATGCTGCTCACACTGTTGTAGATCAAAGTGCTGCTCAGGAGCACGGCCAGTGTGAAGAGCCACGAGTCACTCTTAGGATCGCCCTAGAAAATGTATTAAAATAAGCACCTATTAGCTTTCTCTTTAGGTATTAATTTGGTTTCTGTTCAATCATAATTCATTTGTTAGGGAAGACAGCACAGTATTTGTACAAACAAAACGCCTTGAAAATGGAATTAAAATCAAATCTCATTTTTAGCATGATTTTAAAGAACTTCTTCTGGTCTCAGCTTTTCCATCTCTGAAGAGTTTCTAGTAATGCTTTCCCTAAGGGTTCTGAACAGGGTGACGTGAGAAAATAAAAATAAAGACAGTTGCTAATGAGCAATCGGTTGTTCTTTAAGAGACAACTATGCAGATTTCAACAAAGGGGCTAAGTTACTATATTCAGTACTCTGCACTAGTCAAGACTGAGCAATCAAATTGAAATTTAATTTATCTTAATGAGGACTAAACATCACACGCTTTGCTTGCTACAAGTAGGCAAAGAAAAACACAACAGTTATTACAGTCAAGATGACTATTATCATATTACAAACATGTAAAACAAAATGTAACACATAATATGTTCAAATAGTTTATGCATCAGTGATAGATCACAGGAAGTAGAAATGATAGCCATTATATTGAATACAAATAGTGACTGTGTTAAAGGAGAGAAAAAGCTTTGGAAGTTCAAGAGAGAGTACGTGTATAATGGGAATTTTCTTAGAAATTCTGTGTGAGCTGTTAAGACACTTGTAAAATGTAGACTCCAAGAAGGGAAGTGGGCCAGTGGAAAAATTTGAAGCCATAGCAGCATTAGAATGTACACAGCGTGGTTCTTGGTCTGAGTGACACAGAGCAGAGAGTGACTAGAGAAGAATGGCTGGAAAGCAAGAGCTTATGCAGGATGAGGAAGGGCTCTGAAGACGGGTAAAACTGTCGTCCGGACGCTTGCAGAAGTCAGCAGTCAACTGCAGAAGACACCTGGCGTGCTCCTGAAAACCCTTGAGGAAACGAAAACTCTGAAATCTAAACCTAGAATATGGGAATTTGGGAAATAAATATTGTGAATATACCTAATTTCCCAAATTATTTTTATTTTAAAGTAATTGACTAAGATCACAAAATATCATTCTCAGGAAAAACAATAGGTTTGATGTCATGGCAGTATCTGTACTTGGTATGTTGTTTTATAAGTAAGGACAGAATTAGTATTTCCTCATGAGCAGAAACAGAGCCTAAAGAAATGTAGGGATTATTTTTAATTTAGTCCCCACAAGGGAGGATATGAGGGAAAGAACGAGGAGTGATAAAGTCAAAACGAAGAGGAACAGCCATTCATTCATCCTAAATAAAAACAGACATGCTAACCCTAATTAAAAGCCTCCTGTGCCAGTTTCTATGTCTCTGTTTTCTTTCTAGGAGACACCCTTGCTTTCTAACATCAAAGCAGTGATCATGTGGTTTTATAGAAAACCCTACACACTATCTCCTTACCTGGAGCAAACACTTTCAAGAGTACAGCCTTTACCTTGTTGACTTAAGATCTTAGCCAGGACCCTAACTTCATTTTTTTTTTCAAAAAAAGTTTATTCAGTAAGTGAAATTATTCACTTTAACTCTCAGAAATGAAAGGATTTCTTTTCCTAAGCCACATTGCATACTAAGATTTTCAAAAGGGCCAAAGCAAGCCTCATTCCACACAGGAACATTTCACAGTACTTAAATTACTAAGGATCAGGAATAAGGAATGCAGAAGACAAAAGATCCCAGATTCTTTGTCTCACCTTTTCTCCATCACCTAGGCCCTCGACACTCAGAAGGACAAATCTGTGGTTCGGTTTAAAAGTGTGGGGCATATTCCAAATCCAGATGCCCTTGGTGTCAGATTCTATAGTGGGGTCCAGGAGAAGAAATCCTGATGGAAAATAATTGATCAAAATATTGTGATATCAGGTCATGCAAGCACCCCTTGGGCTACAAAGTCAGACTGGATGAGAGTGCTGTAAAGTAGAAAAGAATGCTTTCTCTCTTTCACAGAGGATGCCCAACTGTGTGTCATCGACCATATCAAATCCATCGTTCCCAATCCTGCTGCATTTTAAAGTTCAGGTTTTTTCATAAATAACAATTCTGGTTTTTGGTGTAAGAAAATGTGTATTTATGTCTGTGAGGTCTACCAGTGGACAGAGAGAATCTTTAATTTGTAACTGTCCAACACCCCAGTTTCTGAAAGAAGATGACCTAGTTCAATACAATGAAATTATGTGAAGCCCTTTGTCGTACCAACTCCCCTAAGAGACCTGTGCATGCTCTCTGGGATCCCAAAGAGCGCAGTTCTGACTAAACCATCACAACGTTCCTCTTAAGTTCCAGTTTGAGGAATAAGAATACTTATTTGGGCTTGCCAACAAAGTTTATGCTATTCAGAAGAGGGTCACTTACAAAGGCATGTGTGCCCATGGGTTCTTTCTCTCCCACATTTGAAAAGATGGATAAAGTACAGTCCTCATGAAAGGTTCTATCTGCATCACATTTCTTACTTGTTTTGAAATCACTGTGACTCATATATAATCAAGCAAACTCAGCAGCAATTATTAATAAGACATTTCTAAGGGGGACACTGAAATCATATCATATGTATGACAGTTCCTTCCAACCAAAGGGGAACAGGCTTCAAGATTTCCTGTCTGGGACCACCATAGAATTACTGATGCAGTTTCTATGTGTTTTTCTTCCTTTGAAACTCAGAAAATGATCTTCCATTTTTCTTATTTTTAATTACTATGACACATGTCCTTTATATTGAGATATACCTATAAATACTATAAAATTAAGATAAGCTAAACTTTCAAGTATTCTGTGACATCAAGTTATATGCCATGACACGGAATTTTATGACAGATAGATAAAGCCATACAAAGGTAAAAGTGAGATGGCAATCAACATTCTGATTTATTTACCTTTTATTCAAGGAAAGAAGCATCCTCCAAAGTTTCTAGGACAATACCCCCCCCTCCCAAATTAGCGCTGTCAAGGCTTTAAAACATAAACCATTTGGCTATTTCATATTCAAATATTCCAAAGAATACTGAATTTATATTACTGAAACAGGTACTTACGGGTGATGTTTAAAGCACTAAATTGAAGATCACTCTGTTGCTCTGAACAGAATTGTTTATGTACCATTAAAGTGGAAGCAGGAAGTAATTAGGCAAAAACAGTATTTCAGGCAAAAGATAGTCTAGTGTAAGCTGGCATAACAGAAATAAGAAAAGCCATATAAAATCAAAGTATAATAAGAGAAACAAGAGACTGAGGCCTGACAAGGTTGGCGATGAGCCAAGTGAAAGCAGAGCACTGGTGCGTGAGTCTGAGAGCTTTGGGTGCGCGTTGTTAAGAGGAAGGAAATGGAGGCTTTTTATTTTGCTTTTTGATAACTGATTTCATGGGGGTTTAGGAGTAGAGTTTGGTCAACAATTTTATTTTGAACATAAAAATGTTCACAACTTTTAGAAAAAAAATGACTAGATGGCTACTTTAGCTAAATTTGAATTTTAAAAGTGGTATTAAGGGGGTAAATATGTGCCTAAGACTTATAATAAAAGTTATTTAACATTATGGAACAAGGGGCTGCGATATCTCAGAGGATTCCATCCTTGGCAACCCCAAATATTATTACTATTGATAATAGAGGACTAGAACAAGACCACTTTGTCACAGTTTGTAACTGGCAGAACAGTCCCCAGGTCACATCATAAAATGACCTCCAATTCAGATGACTCGAATAAAAGCTGGAGTTTGGGAGTAAACTGAGAGATAGAAATGGCAACAAGAAGCAGCCCAGGAGAGTGCTATGCATAGAAGATAAGGCAGGAAAGCACTGTAAGGATTAGTAAACCTGAGAAACGATGCCAACAGGGGACAGAGATACAAAGGAACATATGCTGACTCACAGGAGATGGGGATCTTAGCTGGTTTAGCCAAAGCAACTTGGTGGAATGCTGGGTCTTAAGATCAGAGGTGAATCCATTGAAGAAAAGAGTAGAAAGAAAAGAAGGAAAGGAAATTGAGATAACATATTTTTTGCTTAAAGAGAGGTAAAAATGTTGGGAGCTTCGAAATAATAGACTTCCAAGTATGTTGGCTACTTTAAGAACAATCCATGTGGACAGATAAGTGTGATGTGAGAGCGGGCATTGTAAGAGGGCAGAGCCTAAGGCATTAGGAAAGATGAATAAGAGAGTTTCCTTTTATATGAAATTGATACAACAGCTATAAATCATAGAATTACACATAAGAATAGATCTAATTGCAATTTGCTATAAGAATTAGAATTAAAAAATTTTGATAGAACACTTGAAATCTCTTTCCACGTGCTACCAAGACCTGAGTGAAAAAAGTCAGATAAAGCTGATCTCAAGTAAATGTTTCTGTCACAGGACCTCACTGACCAATGTTTTCTTCTGCAAGAAGGTTCATCAAGTAGGATTTTCCTTTATTATACAATCCCACAATTGCCACAGCCACCACAGGCTCCGCTATCTTCTGAAGAGTCCTCAAGGAATCCTTGTTAATGGATAGCTGCCCATTCCTATAGTCTACTAGACACGTGGGAGCCACGGGATATCCAGTAGACTCAGAAGCCATGGTCACCTGCAAAGGCAAAAATTTCTATCATGAGAAATCATAATTAATTCTCTTGGTTAGTCAGATCATGTGGAAAAGAGCAAACGGCAAGTTGAGACTTCAGTACATTTCTATGCCAAAACCACACCGGAGGGCTTCATAGGACATTCATTGTTTATCATATTTTTCTGAAGATGCTAATGATGAAATAGTATTACCATTCCAAAGTTTGAATTCCTCAATAAATTAAAGTGAGGCAATGTTTATCACGTAACGAGAATCTACTTTATTCTGAGCTCATTAAAAAAAAAACGCACTATTGGGCTGGAGAGATGGCTCAGTGGTTAAGAACACTGGCTGTTCTTGCAGAAGACCCAGGTTCCGAATCCCAGCACCCACATGGCAGCTAACAACTGTCTGTAACTCCAGTTCCAGGGGATCCGAAAGCCTCTTCTGACCTCCGAGGGCATTGCATGACACAGGTGTACTTACCTACATGCAGGCATACACATAAAATAAAAATAATAAATAAAAATTTTTTAAAATGCTCTAGTAACAAAAAAAGCCATTATTAACAAAAATTTTAAGCTCTACAATTGACTTCTGAAATAGTTTGGATGCTGAATGTCCCTTAACACCACCAATGTCAACATCTTGATCACCAGGACAGTAGTACTGAGAGATGGTAGGACCTTTAGCAGTGGGTCTTGGTAGGGGGTTATTGAGTCACTGGATCAAGTCCTTCAAGGGAACTGTGAGAGTACAGCCCCTAGCTCTTCTCTGCTGCTTACTGGTCCTGAGGTGAGCAGTATTTCTTTGCCACACTTGCCACACTTGGTATTTGGTATTTGACTATGGTGTGTCACCATGTCAGAAATGAGAGAATGGTCTATGACGTCCAAAAGTGTGAGCCAAAATAAACCTTTTCTCTTAGGAGTTGATTCCATTAAGTATTTGTTATAGTAAAGGAGAGCTACCTCACTCAGTGACCTATGTAACATTAGCAAGGAGAGTAAGCTGGCAAAGTGAATTTTATGACAAATTTATTTATAAAAAGCCAAGCCTGTCATATTTTGGTTGTGAAACGACCACAAATTGTAACTTCACATTAACAAGAGGTGCTTGTTTGTTTGAACAATGTTTTACCATCTTGGATAACTTCTAAGTGTTCTAATATTTTGATACTCTGACAAACAGTATTTTTTTTATTTCCCTCTCAGTTCATCACTGTCAATGTATAGCATCTAATTTTTGAGAGTTGATTTTCTATCCTGCAGAAATTATTTATGGTTTCTAATATTTTATGGATCTAGATGCTTCTGCAAGTAAAGCAACATCATTTGGAAACAAAGACAACTTTGCCTCTTCTTTTTCTTGCCTAACTGTTCTAATAGTTCCAGTGGTGTATTGAATAGAAATGGCAAAAGATATTAATCACCCTTGCTTTATTCTTGATCTTAAAAGAGCTTTCCACCTTTGACCACTGAATATGTTATTTGCTGTGGTATATTCATATACAGCTATTATTAGATTAACATATTTTGCATCTATTTCTTGTTTGTTGAGACTTGTCTCTTTTTATTTAAATTTAAAAATTTTATTAACTCTTTGAGAATTGCATAGAATGTATTTTGATCATATTCACCCCAATTCCTCCCTGTCACCATGCCCCCATCTCACCCCCCTCTCAATTTTGTGTCCTTTTCTCCCTATTTTAATTTAGTACCAACACCCATATGTGTTGTCCATCTACTTCTGGGTGTGGGACCATTCACTGGAGCCATTCCCTTAAAGAAACCTAACTCTACCTTCCCCAGAAGCCATCAACGGTCAACAGCTCTTCAGATAGGCATAAGGGTTCATGAACTTACTCCATGCTACAATGTTGATCAAGAAAGAGTGTTGAATTTTGTAGAAGCATTGTTTCTGCATCAGTTGAATCATGTGATTTTTATACCTCATTCTGTTAAATCAATGCATTTCCTGCATTGGTTTATTTTTAAACTCTTGAACTATACAGTACATATATTGCACTTGATCATATTATTTCATTCTTTTAATGTTCTGAAATATTTGGTTTGCTAGTATTTTGTTAAGGATTTTTGCATCTGTGTTCTTAATAGTTACATATTGCTGTGGTGTCAGGGTATTTTAGTAACCTTCGGGCTACTATAAAAGTACATCTGGGGTAACTAACTTAAAAAGAGGAAAGGTTTGTTTTGGCTCACAGTTTTAGAAGTTTCAGTCCATGATCAGGTGGCCCAGTGCTCTTGGGCCTGTGGGGAGGCAGCACACCATGGCAGGAGTGCACAGCCTTGGAAGGTGCTTAAGGCAGCAAAAGAAAAAGGAAGAGGAAGGGCCAGAGTGATAATCCCAACTACCAGGGCAAACATCCAATGGCAAACTTCCCACCTCTCAAATTCCAACTGCTCCTAGCATCACCATAGGCTGCAGGCCACCCCCTCCACAGATGGGTGTTTGGAAGACACAGATTCAAGCCACTGGACAGAGTGGTGCTGACTCATAGAATGAGTCTGGATGAATTGCCTCTTATTTAGTTTTTCTGAAAAGTTAAGAAGTAGTGTCAACTTATTTTTCTCTGTAATTCTGTTCTTCTATCTCTGCTAATATGTCTGAATCTTGTTTACATTCTTCTAATTGTTTTAGGCTTAATTTGTTTTTATCTTTCTTTTCTTTTTTATTAGCTTTTTCAGTTACGAAATGAAGATGGTTAACTAGAAATCTTTTTGTTTTGTGATATGAACATCTATATTTACAAATTTGCCCCTTACCAATGCTTTTACTGGATCTAACAATTTTGGTATGTTCTGCTTTTTTTAAAATAATTTCTCTTAGAGTACTTTATAATTTCTCCTATAATTTCCTCTTCAATCTTCCAGTTAAGATTTCCACCTATTTTTAAGTTTTCCTGATTTTCCTCTGTTCTAAATTTCTACCTTCATTCTGTTATCAGAAAGTAAACCTATGATGTCTACCTGCTTAAATCTATAGAGACTTAATTTGTGGACAAATATGGGCCGATTCTGAAAAATGTTCACTTGGGGGAATAATTCTCTGTTGCTCATAGAGACTGTTCTCTATATGTCTGTTACATTTAGCTGTTTACTGTACTATTTAAATCCTAATATGTCTTTATTTTCTCTTTGGTGGTTCTGGTGTTTAAGGTAGCATATTGAAGTCCCCAACTATCATTATAGAAAGATTTTTTTTAGTTCAGTGGTGATAAATTCTGCCTGTGTTCATAATCCTTGAGCCTTCTTTCTGTATTAAGCATTTCATCATTATATAATGTATTTTGTCTCATACACTTTTTATCTATAGTCTATTTCTTCTGATATCAGCAGTCCGCTGGTCTCTTCCATACCATTTGCATAGATTATGTTTTTCCATCTTTTAACTTTCACCTTCTTTGTGACCTTGGTTCTAAACCTAGCTCTCCTGGAGACTGCACATAGGTGAACCATGGGTTTTTATTGGTTTGCTTGTATCTGCACTGACAGTCTAACATTCCTTTCTATCATCTAATCCATTTCTACCTAATTACTGATAGAGGGACATTTTGCTATTTCATTTCCATATGCCTTGTAACTTTTATGTCCCTCACTTTCTGGTCATTTAGCTAAAATTTTGTAGTGAAATGTTTTGAATCTTCCTATTTCCTTTTGCACATGTTCCACGGGTGCATTGTTTATGGTTGCCATGGGAATGATGTTAATATCCTAAAGTTCTAACACTAAGCTTTCATATGAATAACAATGTGTAAAATCTCTGATACCTTCACAGCTGCTTCCTCACAGTTTTAAGTTGTTGTTATCACCAAATTATATCATCACATAGTCTGTGCTCAATTTCACACAGCCCTAAGTATAGTGTTTCATGTCAATAAAAACTTTTTAGTGGTATTGTTCACGGATATATTAGGACCACTGTCACATTACATTTTAATCTATCTGGACAATAAAAATTCAGATATATGCCTCGGTTCTGGGGAGGTTTTGTTTTACTAGAATTTTCTTTTTTGGTTGGGGGGTGGGGAGGTTGGTGGGGTTTAGTCCTAGTTAGCCGGAAACTCACTATGTAGACCAGCCTACCCTCGAACTCTCGGCGATCGGCCTGCCTCTGCCTTTCAAGTGCTGGGATTAAAAGCATGTGCCTGGTCCAATTTTTTTTTTTTTTTTTTTTTTCTTAACCACACATTTAGACACAGAGCAAGATAAACAACAGGCTAAGACCATTTCAACAATTGATTAAAAATCCTGAAAGCGAATTACTTCATATAAAGGACAGCGTTGTAGAACCTCCGGAATATTAAATGTGGTTAATATAAGAAACAATCTTCCAAAGTTTAAGTACCCTAAGAATCATCTTTTCTCTGTCTTTCCAGCGTTCAGCAGGGGCCGCACTCTGGAAACAAGGATGGATGGGAGGAGGCAGAGGAGGAAACAAGTCCACCTAAGCGACTCCTCCTGGGGGCTAGATGTGGCCTTCTCAGTGGAACAAGGACCGTCCTCTCCCTTTGGTGCATATGATCGAGGACGCACTTCTCTGCCGCTGCTAGGGATGAGGCCTCAGGACTGGAATTTCCAGGACGCAGGGCGGCGTCATCTTTGTCTCCAAGGAGACACCCAGCAGCCCGCTGTGGGGCACACCCGACTGGGAATCCTGCCCACCCACACGCCTGGGACCCTGCCCCACCCACGCGGAGTGTGAGATTTCCTTCGGGTAACACCAAATTCAGGAGCGAAGTTACATGGCTGAGGTCTAGCTGTCAGCCTCTCTCGCTGGCGCTCCTCCCCTTGCTTTCGTCTCCTCCAGAAAGGAAGCAAACCCGGCCACAGCCCTGTAGTGAAATATCCGGTGGAGAGAATCTAAAGCACCCGAAGTTTCTGGGAAGGGAACTCACCTCTAGAAACCTAACTGGAGACTCCAGATAGGGTCAGGCCAGGGCGTCAATCCCACAATCCTTCCTCTCCTCACCTTATCAGGGCTCTTTCACAACTGATGTA